AAAATTTTAAAATTTTCTGATGCATAAAAGTATTTTTAATCTCAAAATGAAAATGACTGCATGTTGGATAGGCAACATGTGAAAGAAAAAAAAAAGGACAATGAGAAAAAACATTGCTTTACAAACCTTAAGACCTAATAAAAAAATCTGATATGTTTACTGATAATCTGCCAGATTTTGTTAACATTTGCTTACTAACCTAAATGTTATAGCATGAAAGCTATAAGAAGCACAAAATGGTTATGAGGTTGGTCCCAAGGACTGAGCCCATGCTGAAAGAGTTAATTATTTTCATTTATTTACATCCGCAGTTGCAATAGCTTCACCACTAGACAACTTTTAGTTTATCTCTGATAAATAAAGCATTATAATACATTTTTATTTTGACTTCATTACCATGTCATATCTTTTTCATTTCACCAGTAACAAACTGCTATACTTGTCTTTCTGTATACTACATCCACAAAACTCGCATCTTTTAGGACATTGATTACCCATGTGTCAGATTTAATCAGTAGATTACCACACAGGTTTTTAAAAGATAAATATCTAATTTTTGCAATAAACATATGTCTGAATATATAATTATATATCTTTTAACTTCATATTCTTAAATTAAATTTTATGTAAATTTTTTCATACCTATTCCCATTATTTACTGGTCTTCTAAATATTTATAGAACCTGCATATTTGTTGATAACAATATGTTTATTTCATAATTTTACAGTATCCTAGAATCAAGGATATTGTACATTTGTTTACTGATATTTTAGAATATCTTCGAGCCCATACATTCTGTTACAATTATTTGCTTATCCACACAATATTTATTTACAAATTAACATGATCTTCAAAAAACATATAGAAATCAACTCCTACCAATTACTTTCTGCTTTCTCCAAAGCTAATCTTACAGCATCACATACAATGTTCACTTTGTTTCCACTAGGTGGAATGTAATTGGCTTGCTCTTTGTGATGGTAGGCACTACTATACATCGTTTTGGTGATATCGTCCTCCCTGTAAAAAGTTTATCACTGTTCTTTTAATCAAATTAAATTCAATGTAAAAACAAATACACTAATCATCAAAATAACCTGATTTATTTTCAAGGTATAAAGTTTGCAATTAATATAAAAAATCATTTAATCACTTCACAATTAAAAATCTAAAATAACAAATGAGCCAATATATATAAAAACAATTGTGATATACAAATGTGAAAGACAGTTGATCTGATGTTAGGTACTAACTTTAAATCCATAAGAAACAAGTTGATCCTGGAAATGTCATCAATTTGTTCCACAAACATCCATGTATTCTCCAGAAAAACCTGAAACAATGTTTGATAGATGTCAACTGTTAAATTGAAGAAAAGTATTTCACTTCTGATATGTTTTATGCAAGCCATGAATTTTATTTTAAATTTACTCCTATGTAACTACAAAACTTCAAAAATCAAAGTTATAAAAAGGATTTTGTATAAATTTTCTGTTTATTCACTCACATCTTGATGGTACAATAAACACTTACTTGTGGATTATGATCATACAGGAGATTAGTATCGATTCTATGCTTTCTCATCATTTCCAAAGCTTGTCCAAAACAAAGGCTGAAGATAGAAAATGTCTAAAAATAATTTTAATTCTAAAAGTAAGTTTAATCAACTGTTTGCTCTAAATAAGATATAAAGTTGCAAACAAAGATTGTATTAACTCTCTCAACACGGGCTTGGTCAATTTGACTAACCACTTAACCTCTTTGTACTCGATTAAAGTCTTTATAGATTTAATACTTCTAACTTTCAATATAGTGTGTATATCTTCACAACATTGGGCAGTCTTTTAGTTCATATTATAAGTCTTTCAAATACAAAAAATCATGTTTTTTAGTGAAGTATTTTTAATAAACTAAAATAGATTTGTCCTTGAATATATCGAGTATTTGTTTTGAATAGTCCATGTGCAAAGTGATTTTCATGTTAAAATTAAAAATACTTTTCATCTCAAAAATCTCAAATTTCATTTGTGTAATCTCTAAAACCTCCTAAATATGTTTCAAATGTTTGTTTTCAGTAAAACTTTATATTTTATATTATTTTCTCTACCCTAATTCTGTACAAGGTTGGTCAATTTGACTGACCTTGTAACCACTAAAAAAATCTAAATAAATCAAAATTACCCTTTTTTTCTTTCTAGAATGACTTCAAATGTAGCATACACTACATTCATTTATCATAAGTAGCATTAAACTCATAATAGTATACATCTAGCAATCGATGTGTTTGAAGGAAAATGAAGTTTGATAATGAACAAGATTACGACACTTATGATATATAACATTGTTTATTAACAAAAAGGGGACATAGATAAACGTTTCAGAATTCTATCAGATTCCATCTTCAGTATCTAAAGCAAAATAAAATGAATTTACATAAGTCTTTGGACATTGCTAAAGTACAATTGCTAAATATAACGTTAATTAAACAAATAAAACACAAAACAGTAATCATGAGGAGAAACTGTAGCAAGAAAACACAACAAAAAAGTAAAATCCGTAATACAAACATATTAAGAAATGTATAATTTAAATGAAGACTGCATGTTGTTCAGTGTTGGAGAGTGCTGTTTGATGTGGAGAGTTTCTTTAATCAATAATTCCAGGTCAGTATTAGACTTGCAGAGGATAGAAAAATTGGATAGCATAGGTTGATGTCCTGTTTCTTCGCTATGTTGGCGTATAGAGGAAACACAAGGTTACTCAATTTTTTTTTACATTTTGATGGAAATTCCCATATGTTCATAGACTCTGACTTTTAAATGGCATTTGGTTTTGCCAATATAAAAGGCTTTACAGTCTCCACATGTATAAAGATAGATAAGCCAGGAACAATAAGGAATGGGGAGGAGATCTTTAGTAGGGAAATTTTTTTTTATGCGTGATGTGGATTTAAAACTAATCTGAAATCCACTTGAGGGTAGTAACGACTAAGTATGCATTTAAGTTGATTTTTTTAAATTTAAGCTTTGTTTGCCAGTATAGGGAAGACATGAGTATATAGTAAGTTTGGGTACTGTTGGTATTTTAATTGGATTTGTAAGTTTCTTTGTTAGGAAGGTGTTGGTAATGGTTTATAATAAGTGTTGTGGGTAGCAGTTACATTTCAGGATATCATGTAAGAACGAAATTTCAGAGTGTAGATTAAGATATGTGGAGCACAGGTTTAATCTGTGTTTAGTAAGCATGTAAGAAGGTTTCGTTTATACGTAAATGGGATAAAGCTATCAAAGTGTGTAAGGAGACCAGTGGACGTCTTTTTTCGGTAAATTGATGTGGAAAATCCATTAGCATTATAGTTAATGAGCATGTCTAAAAAAGCTAAATTATTATTATTTTCAACCTCACATGTAAATTTAATGGCAGGATGTTGTGAGTTAAGGTATTCTAAGAATTTTGAGCATTGATCACTATTATTAAAAAGAATAAAAGTGTCATCCACATACCTTCTGTACAGAACAGGCCTAAAGTTAACTGGGCAGGTACCAAGCCATTTCCGTTCGTAATAAAAGTGAAATGCATTAGCCAAAGTTGGACCTAGTGGGGAGCCCATTGCAATGCCATCTATTTGTTCATACAAGGTGTTGTTGAACAGGAAAGGAGATTCTTAGTGGTAAGATACAGCTTGGTCTAAATTTGATTCTCAGAAAAGCCATTTAGAGGAATGTTATTACATGAAAGCTCGAATATACATATATTAATAGTTTCATTTAGAGGAATATTTGTAAAAAGGGAGGTAACATCAAAGCTTGCCATGAAGAGATTATCTGAAGGGGTAGTTGACTTAGTTCACGTTCAAAGTGGAAGGAATGTGGGATAGTATATTCGTTAGTAGTGAGTGGCTGAAGTATAGGTACAAAGAATTTAGCAGGTGGGTGTGGCAGGAGGGGTCTGATTTTCTATTTGATGGCTCTGTAACCAAATAAAATTGCAGGCAATAAAATTATGGTTTGTCTGAGCAATGACGATTTTATAGCGAGTAATTTCCATTATTTTTGTAGTTATTGGAGGGGTAGTGGATAAAATAGAGAAGATGCATGGAGAAAATGTGTAATGTGTCACACTAGGAGAATTCAGGATTTTTTCAAATATTGCCTTATAGAATTAAGAACTTAAAACTTATACACTATTAAAATATGGATTATTAGCTAAGATTTTATGCTATACTAATTGGTATAACATAAACAGTAAGTAGTTTGATAAAATTTTGAATGTAAGACAATAAATGTTGTGTCATGTGCAGTAAAGGATACCCTTGGCGATAGGGTTAAGGATCACATCTAGGGATTTTGTACTCTGTTGCTTGCTATCAGTAGGTTACGTGATACTCCATGTGGCAGTGTTATCTGCATATTGGGAAAAGGAAGTGTATGTCAAGTCGAGGAAAGGTATGGTATTCACAAACAATATATATATAGTAGTAATGATAAAACTGACCCTTGTGGTACTCCTGCAGGGATTTTAAATGTCTTGGATAGAGTGTTATTTATTTTAACTGTTGCAGTTCGGTTGGTTAAAAAGTTGGATATCCATATAATTCTTTTGTTGTTAATGTTCATGGAATATAAACGATATTTGATGGCATTACATCACGCTGAATCAAAAGCCTTTTTGGTATCTAGGAAGACTGCTATTGTTACTTGATTATTATTAAAGGATTTTTATATAGATTCTGTAAGTCTGGTTAAATGGTCTGTGGTCAGTTGTCCTTTTCATGAGGAGTTCTGTATGTCAGGTATTAGGTTGTTGTTTTCGCAAAAAAAGTATTAAGGTTTTGGAGATGATTTGTTCCATAAATTTACCTAGACAACATAGTAGACTTATCGGTCTAAATTTGTCAGGTTTGGAGCTTCCTGGTGATGTTTTAGGGATGACTGTGATTTTTGTTTTTTTTCCAGACAGCGGGGACAACTTATCCTGACAAGAAGGATAAGTTCATAATATTTATAAGATGGCAGAGAGATTGCTTGAGCCATTTTCTGAGATAATATTTTCCAGGGGAAGAGTTGTTTAAAGTTGCTATGTTAATTTTAAGTACACCCATTGTGATTTTCTATCAAAGATGTGTTCGTGCATTAATGTAGTATCGTTGGTAATGCTAATCGGAAATTGTGTGGTGTATAAGTCTGGTCTTGATGACTGATCATCGATATTTTGTTTTAAATATCGGTTAAATGTTGGGGAGTAGATGTCTAAAAAAGAATTGGTATAATAGACAGCAAGCAGGTTTGCTTTGTCAATATCAGTTTTGTTGTTCTTGTACTTAATGTGTTGAAATAATTTATTATTGTTTTTCTCTGTTGTAAGTGATTTAAATTTCTTCCAAAATTCTCTGGGTTGATCTTGACAGTTGCCTAATGAATAGTAAAATAGCTCAGTTCTCATTTCTTAAGGAGTTAATGCTTCTTTTAATTAGTGCATGTGTTCTGTTTATTTGTGGTTTTATTGATTGGTCATAAGAAGCCGTCTAAGTCTTCTACGTTCTGTAATAAGTTCATGAATTTCTGGAGTTCAGAGCCAAGTGTTGTAGTGATACTTTTTGTTTGAGGAGGGTATTATGGTTTCTGTGGCTTTTAAAATAGCTTCTGTAAAATCATTTACGTATTTGTCAAGATTGTTTTTGTTGGAGATTTTGTTAATTTCATCAGGTGACAGTGTGACAAGAATTGTGTCAAAGTTTTTCAGTTCACTTTTGTATATATCATGTTTCTTCAAATTGTTGCGTATCTGCTTGTTTGTTAATTTCCGGTAGAAATTCTTTTCAAGGAACTTCAGCAATACAAGTCCTTTCTTGATTAAATCAGTTTATTCTTTCTCGATACAAACTTTTAGTACACAGTAATTCCATAGTCAGTACGTTTCTCATTACTTTAAACTTAACAACTTTTATAATACACACTATAAATCACAGCGATTCACAACCTCGATAACTTCGCTCTCAACGAGTGCAAAACACACACTTTATGGCTCACTAGCTCGAAAATAACAGAATCATAAATTACACTAGCTCGAAACAAGATTGTAAATTATCCGAAACTTACCATAACTACTGTTTTCTTTATCATACATTCATCATCCCCTGTCTTTTCTCTGCCAGGCTTATATACTAACAAAGAGGGGTCTTGGTCACACTCGAGCTTCCCCGATAATTCAAGAAACTCACACATGCTCCCAACGTCACGTGACTTCCGCTGTCGTAACACTGCTCCTTCCTTAGTATTGTTCATCCCGAACAATAGCTACTTACATTAAACCAATAGATAATTAACAATAACTTAATTAAATGTACAGAATTTATAAACACAAAATTAAAATACAACAAAGTCTCTTAATTTTACAGGACATTTCTTCTTTCATACTGGTCTCTGTCTCGTTGGCTTCTGCTTCACTTGGGATTCATCTGCTCTATCAGGAAATGTCACATTATTGGTAGCAGTCACATTAGTGGTAGTAACTTCATTAATGACTTCACTGTTTTCCCTCTCAAAACTTGGTAGAATTTTTTCTTCAACAGTGGCTTTATCAGGTGACACATATTCAGCAGCATCATTTGTTCTGTTGTTCATTTCATTCGAACTAAAATGTCCTGGGCCGTGATAACACCAAAGCCTGTTGGCATGCACCACCTTTAGC